GCGGGCCTAAGCCATCAGTCGGACATCCTTAGCACTGCCGCAGAGGCAGGAGAGGCTCTCGCCATCACTGGTGGTCAGTATGTATCATAATGACTGGTCGTTCTGCTGTTCAGATTTGCATGTTAGCTTTTCATTATATAGAATTAGGCAAACAACCTGGACACAACAGGTACCCTTCCATGTGGGACATGAACCCTAATTAAGGATACTTAACAAAATCTCGGAAGAAGATAGAGCCCAAGCTATTTTTTAAAAAACACTGCACATAGGCCCTGGTCAGGTGGCTCAATTGGTTGGAGCATGGTCCCATGTACCAAAAAAGTTGCAGGTTCAATTCTATGTCGGGGAGTGTACAGGAGGCAACCCATCAGTGTTTCTCTCTCACATTGATGTTTCTTTCTCTCCAACCAATTGAGCCACCAGACCGGGCAAATGAGCATGTATTTTTAACAATAATTTTAACAGTGAATTTTCATTAAAATTTAAAGAAAATGCTAATATACTAACAATTAATGTGGGTGATGAAAATACATAGAATATTTTTTATATTTTTCTATATTTTTCCATTTCTAAAAAATTAAGACACCAAAATATTAAATAGTATTTACCTTTAAGAAATTCAAATTTATATACTTTTGAAAAAATTTGTTTATACAGTAGTCCTCGCTTATCTGCAGTTTTGCTTCCCGCAGTTTCAATTCCCCTGTCAATCACAGTAGAAAATATCAAATGGAAAATTCCAGAAATACACAATTCATAAGTTTGAAATTGTGGACCCATCTGAATAGCATGATGAAATCGCACACTGACCCATTCTGTCCCACCCAGGCCTTGAATCATTCCTTTGTCCACAAACTGTATTCAATACCCACCCTTTAGTCACTCAGTAGCCATCTCAGTTATCAGATCCACTGTATAGGTATTGTAGGGCTTGTGTCCAAGTAACTTATTTTACTTAAATAATGGCCCCAAAGCACAAGAGTAGTGATGCTGGCAATTCGGATATGCCAAAGGGAAGCCGTAAAGTGCTTCCTTTAAATGAAAAGGTGAGTGCAACACAGTAAGATGTTTTGAGAGAAAGACACCACATTCACATAACTTTCATTACAATATATTGTTATAACCATTCTATTTTTTTTTCATGGTTTTCATGTCCTTTTATTATTCTGTAAAAGGTAACAAAATATACAGAACAAAGCTTTCCCTTTTTAACTGATATAACCATTCTATTTTATTATGTTATTGTTGTTAATCTTATAGTGCCTAATTTACAAGTTAAACTTTATCACAAGTATGTATGTACAGGAAAAAACATAGTATATATAGGGTTCAGTACTATCATTGGTTTCAAGCATCCACGGGAAGTTTAGAACATATCCCCACAAATAAGGGCAGACTACTGTATTATCCAGGTTAATTATAATGAAAATGTATTATTATTACAAAGATATTTCTTCTTTCCAAAAAGTGATATTTTTTAAAAAGGATAGCTAGAAAGAGAGGGCTTTTCAGATAGTATAAAAAAATTTTAATTTTTTAAAAATACATTTTTACTGGTTTCAGAGAAGAAGGGAAAGGGAGAGAGAGAAAAAAAAAACATCAATGATGAGAGAATCATTGATCAGCTGCCTCCTGCACGCCCCACACTGGGGATCGGGCCCAAAACCTGGGAATGTGCCTTGACTCAGAATCAAACTACGACCTCTTAGTTCATAGGTCAACTCTCAACCATTGACCGACACTTGCCAGGGCCAGATGGTATGACATTATTAATAACAGAGAAACAGATAAAAAAAAACGGGTAGGTAAAGCACAAGATTTGCGTTGCACATGTAGAGTTTGGCAGCAGTAGAGGGTTGAGTAGGGTAATGAATGGCAGGCTGAGGAATTGATATCTTGGTGGGAAAAACAACCAAGAATTACTAGTATAGGGGAAAGGACCCCCTGTACTTTCTGGGTTTTCTGCGTATTTGGATTTCCTGGATAGTGATTCCATACTATGTCTTATTTCACATCTTTATTCTTTCCCATCATCTGCAAAAAAACTACATATAAAAAGTTACCATATAAAAAAAAAGTTACCATATAATTGAGGAGACTAGACATTAAAGAAAAATGTGTCTTTAATAGAATCCACAGCTTATGTCCCTTGTTTAAAGAAGGGAAGGAGACAGATGGGTAAAATTGATCATTTAAAGGGAACAAGTCATTTCTAATGATCACCATTCTTACTTTTTAATTTATCTTTAATCGTTTCTGATAGACGCTTTGTGAGCGGAGGTGTTTCTTCTGGAGAGTACTCAGCGGTTGCCAGCTCCTCCTTGAGCACAGCATGGATGCAGTCTTTAACCACAGAGGGTCTGAACCTGAACGAGACGGTTTAAACATCTAATTGGTAACTCCAAAACCCCAGCTTACCTTCCCAGCTCAACTTCCTCTAGCTCTTTGTCATTAGGACCATTTCATCCTTTTTCATATTGTTTATTATAATAGAAATTTTTAAAAAAATAAAGAAAATAAGTCGTCTCTCTCCCCTGAACTCCAGACCACATATTCCAACACATATTCCACCTGGATGTCTAGTAGGCAACTCAAATGTAAACATCCAACACTGAGCTTCTGATTGTCTCCTTTCCCCAAACTAGGTCCTCCTGCAGTCACCTCCAGTCTTCCAGTTGCTGAAGCCACAAAATTTGGTGTCAGTCTTGTTACCTTTCTCTCTCACAGCCCGTATCCCATTAATAAGCAAATCTTATCAGTTCTACCTTCAAAATCATCTAAAATTCATTCTCACCAACCAACTGCCACCACCTTGCTCCAAGCTACCATTACTTCTTGCCTGGACTACAATGACCTCCTAACAAGTCTCTCTGTGTCTGCCTTTGTCCCTAAATCCTGTTCTCAACACAGCAACTGTACTGATCCTGTTAAACTATGTGCCAAATCATGACACTCCTCTATGCCAAACACCCCACATAGTTCCTACATCAGAGTAAAAGCGATATCCTAACTGTGATTTGCAAGGTCCCATATGATCTACCCTACAAAACTCTGCGACCTTGTTTCCTACCACTTTCCTCCTAGCTCTCTCCACTCAGGCCCCACTGGCCTTCACTATGTTCTTTAACCACACCAGGCATGCAAACTTCAGAGCTACTGTACTTATTGTTAACTTCTGCCTGAACTTCAATTCCTCCTTTTATGCATAGCTAACTCCCTCACTTCTTTCAAGTCTTTATTCAAAAGTCACTTTTCCGCCCAGCTGGCATGGCTCAATGGTTGAGCACTGACCTATGAACCAGGAGGTCAAGGTTCATTCCTGGTCAGGGGACATCCCCGGGTTGTGAGCTTAATCCCCAGTGTGGGGCGTGTAGGAGGCAGCTGATCAAGGACTCTCTCTCATCATTGATGTTTCTATCTCTCTCTTCCTCTCCCTTCCTCTCTGAAATCAATAAAAATATATATTTTTTTAAAAATTACTTTTCCTAGTCACCCTCTGTAAAACTTCAAACCACCCTCTTACTATATCACTTTATATCTCCCTTCCTGGTACTTATTACTATCTGATACACTATATGGTTAATTTATTTATCTTGTTTGTTGTCCTTTTACCTAGATAGACTATAAGTTCCATGAGGGTAGGGATTTTTATTTGTTTTGTTCACTGTTATGTCCTTATTTCTTAGAGCAGCACCCAGCACTCAGTAGACAATAATTTTTTTGAAGAAATGGATTGAAGAAAGGAAGACAGAGAAAAAAAAATCTTCCCTAATTCCACCACCCTAACAATGCCACTAGCATTTTAGTTGTATTTATCATCCTATATAATAAAAGCCTAATAAGCTAAGTGTCCAACCATCCATTCAACTGTTCGACCAGTCGCTATGATGCGCACTGACCACCAGGGGGCAGATGCTCCAACCAGTAGGTTAGCTTGCTGCTGGGGTCTGGCCAATTGGAACTGGGAGAGACGGGCGGGATACGCCCTGGAGCACCCTGGAGCCCTCCTGCGGTTCCTCCCCCGTCCTGATGGTGCACCAGTGGGGTCCCTCGGCCTGGCCTGCGCCCTCTCGCAATCTGGGACATGCAATACGGGACCCCTCGGGGGACGTCAAAGAGCTGGTTTCCGCCTGATCCCTGCAGGCCAGGCTGAGGGACCCCACCAGTGCACAGCACCGGGCCTCTAGTATATTATAACACTAAGTTCCTTTTCTGGGCTAGACAGTCTATAGCTGATTTGTCTATCATGTGCCAAGTTATCAGAATGTTTTAAGTTTTGAGTTTATAATGTGGTTTAATATTTGGTAGTACTAGTGGCCCCTTATTACATTTAAACAGTATTTTCTTTGGTCTTCTGCCTGCTTATTCTCACAGATGAACTTTGGAATAATTGACAAATTTACAGGATTTGATCTGTTCAAAATGTGGTCTCCCTATTAACAAATATACTATATCTGGCTCTTCTCTTAAGCCTTTTCCATTCTCAGTAAATGTTAAAAGTTTTCTTCAAACAAGGCAGAAATAATTTCATAGGATTATTCTTATATAATAGACATATTTTTTGTGAATCATGTTCTGCACTGTTTTACAGCAGAAACACTGGTGAATGTCATTCTATGCTTTTAGAAAACTTTACAAAAATAACTGAACATATCTCTTTTTTGTATCCATTCTACCCACCAGTGTTTATCACATTATAATAAAAACTCCTGGCTTCCAATATTTGCCAAGCATTTGATTCAGCAATCTGATTTTAAGCAAGAGAGAAAGAGCTTGGGAACCTTGTGAAAATGAAGTTAGTGATGTATCCTACAGGTGTAGCAGATAGCAGACTGTCCTCAGCACTAGTCTGTATGCTTGGGCCTCCACATACATTCAGGTCCCCTGCCCTGCAGAGAAGTAAGCTACTCTGGCACACGTATCCACACAGTAAACTTCAAAATTCGGCTGAATGACATTCGACCCAAGCCGCTTGTTTTCTTTTTTTCTTTTTTTCTTTTAAGTAATGTCTCTTTTTAAAAATATATTTTATTGCCGAAACCGGTTTGGCTCAGTGGATAGAGCGTCGGCCTGCGGACTGAAGGGTCCCAGGTTCGATTCCGGTCAAGGGCATGTACCTTGGTTGCGGGCACATCCCCAGTAGGGGGTGTGCAGGAGGCAGCTGATCAATGTTTCTCTCTCATCGATGTTTCT